GGGCCGTGCCGCAGACCCGGGGGGAGTGGGCAACGCCTCGCCCCAGGCCTCCCGGCATCACTCCTGGGTGATAGGTTCGTGAGCCGAGGGCTTGCCCAGCTCACCCTTGCGGGGGCGTAGGCACAGCTGGGCCAGAGAGGGCCTTGCCCCCCACTTTGTATCCACCCCCCAGCCGGGGAGCGGGGACAGGCACTGGGGTTACCCTGCTCTGGCTGGGGATCAGGATCAAGGCTCAGCCCCCGCATCCCTCCTGCCGGCCCGCCTGGCTATGCCACGCTCCCTGTCCCTGGCGCTGCTGGCAGACGTGGCTGCCGACTGATGCTCACGGCCCCTCCGGAGAAGCCTTCGGTGCCGCTCCAGGGCCGCCTGCAGCTTCTGGGATCTCGGCTTCCACTGAGCTCAGCACGTCTGACTCTCCGCAGGGCTCCCACGCGACGGCGAGAACCTGGAACGTCCCCCCCGGCCCCGGGCAGGCCCGTTGGTGCTGCCCACTGGAGCTCAGCCCGGGAGATACAGGGAAGGCGCCACGACGGGGCTCTCGGTGGCTACCAGAGGTGGCTGGTTTTCCGGCTGATAGACCAGGCTCAGAGCGACCAGTGTCGGGGTCTGGCTGGGTTTTTAGGGCAGGGGGCTCTGCCACTGGGGACAGCCCCTGTCTACAGCGCAGGATTGCCCAGACTGCCCGCTCCTCGGCGGCCCGTCCCCGAGGGAGTGTTGACAGCCGGCCCAGGGCAGCGGGCAAGGGGCCGCGACGGCGGCTAATTCGGACGCAGCTTTGGATTAGAGGGCAACTGAACTCGGCAAGTGGTAGCAGGGGGCTGGGCGCCGGGGCACCCGGGTTCCGCTCTCAGCCCCGCTGCACTTGCTGGGGGGCTCTGGGGTGTCACTTCGGATCAAATATTTAAAAAAGCAGCCGCAGCTTTGGGGCTGAGAGTTGGGGGGGACGGGAGCCTGCAGCACCAGGAGAGGTCACTGGGTCTGTTTGGACACCACGCGCAGCGTGTCGGGCGAGCGGATAGGGACCTGGAAGTGACAGCGTGTAGCAGCAGCAGCCAGGGCGCCGTGGGGTAACAGCCTACTGCCCGGCGCAGCGAGCTGCGAGCCTCTCGCCCGAGAAGGAGCAGAACTGGCCGAGGGCTGGGACAGTTTCTGACCCTGCGACAGAAGCAGGAGAGCTCGGGGGCGCGTCAGCCCGAGCGCCTGCTGGTTTTGGCTGTAACCATGAAAGGGTTTGTTGTTTTCTTCTTTCCGAAAGATGCTGCTGATTTGGGTTTTGCTTCTCTGCAGATCTAGGTCACTTGCAAACCCTGCACCTGTGGTCAGGAGGGTTTGAGATGTGAGAGTCTCAGCCCCAAACATGCCCCCGGCCCCCGGCCCTGCGAGCTGCCAGCGCGGCTGCACCTGCCCCAGCTGTGGGGGGGAGCCGGGGTCCCTGCTTCCTGTGCTCCTGAGCTGCCGCTGCCAAGGGCCTGCGGGCTTCCATTCCTCTGCTGCTTGGGCTGCTCGGGGCCGAGAAGAGCCCGGGAGAGCCCCGGGAGGCCGGCCAGGGTCCAGCTGCCGGCACGCGTCCACGCCGAGTCCGTCCCTCTGCAAGGGAGAGAACGGGGCACGGCTCAGCTGGGACCAGGGAAAACCCGCCCAGCTCGGAGGCAGCAGGGAGG